AGAAGAAGAAGAAGAAGAAGAAGAAGAAGAAGAAGAAGAAGAAGAAGCAGCAGCCATGCCCACCCAGTCACATGGCCAAGGCCCAGCCATGCCCACCCAGTCACATGGCCAAGGCCCACCTAGCCACGCCCAAAGAACCAGTCATAAAAATATTTGCATCCCACCCCTGCCTTGCACCTCAAAAGCTGGAGACTGGGCCTTGCGGTCTAATTGCAAGCTGGTTACAGAAGCAGAAAAGCGAGAGATAAAATTAATAATGTACCTAAACAAATGTGGATCTAAGTCACAGAGCGCTGCTTCCGAGGGTTTAACACTGCAAGAGAATTCTGCCCGGGATCGGCACCAACGTCGTGTAAAATTGTTGATTGATACCTGAAGTAGAGGCAGTCTTCGACCACTCAACATTTCTATCGCTAAGCAAGACAATTGTAAAGTGAGTTTTGCCCCATTTTATGACCTTCCTTGCCACAGTCGTTAAGTGAATCACTGCACAATTAGTAACACGGTTGCTCAGGGAATCTGGCTTCTGCTTTATTCTGCCTGGCAGAAGGTCACAAAAGGTGACCACGTGACCCCTGCAACACCACAACTGTCATAAATGTGGGTCAGTTCAAATTTTGATCACATGACTGTGGGGATGGGGCAGTGGTCATAAGGATGAGGAAGGGAAGGGAATAGGGCAGAGAGGGAGGGGGGAGGAAGGAAGGAGAAGAAAGAAAGAAAGAAAGAAAGAAAGAAAGAAAGAAAGAAAGAAAGAAAGAAAGAAAGAAAGAAAGAAAGAAAGAAAGAAAGAGGAAGGGAGGAGGAGGGAGGGAGGAAGGAAGGAAGGAGGGAGGGAGGGAGGGGGAGAAGGAAGCAAGGAGAAGAAAGAAAGAAAGAAAGAAAGAAAGAAAGAAAGAAAGAAAGAAAGAAAGAAAGAAAGAAAGAAAGAAAGAAAGAAAGAAAGGAGGAGAAGAAAGAAAGACAAAGAGAGAGAGAAAGAAAGCAGGAAGGAGGAAGGGAGAGAAGGGAGGGAAGAAGGAAGGAAGAATGCAAAGGCCATTGAACAAATAAGGAATCTAAAATATTTATAATGTTTATATTACACTTTTTTGACTCTTAGCTTTCCGTGTTAATAACAAAAGGGTAAATTTCTATTTTAGTTGAAGTAGAAGTATTATACTTTATGTGACAGTATGTTGATTGTGTTAATGTGGAACTAATATCTTAACAAGTCAGTAAGCGAAGCAACATTTCCATTGATTGAGATTTTCCACCAAGTCCTTTAGCAACATTTAAATTCAAATAAAGTATACTCAAAAGATAACAATGAAGAGTAATTTCTGCAAAATAAGGCCATTACGGCAGTAAAAGTGGCCAATCAGTACAACAAGAGTTGCCAATTGTGTGAAACTTTTGGACAATCTCATCACATCTTGGGCTTTTTTTTTTTAATACAGGACATACACTCCCTTCTTTAAATAAATGCTAAAACATAGTTTTCTTTCCGGAGCGCTCTTTTAAATGCTCAGATGCGACTTTAACTCAGGAAAGGAGGCATTTCATCAGGTGCATTGCATTACACATCCTCAAATAGGTTTTCTTAAGTCAACAAACTCTTGACTATTTTCCTCCAAGTGGAAGGAAAACAAAATATAATTTCTATAATTAGGTTTTATAGAAAATCCGATATAAGTTGCTTTAGGAAGCAAACATCCTCTTCTTATATGCACGCATAGACTTACCCAAAAATAGATCACCATCTCCACAAACCTCAACTTCAAAGATGTCTTCACTTCCTTCTTGAAGTCTTCATTCTGAAAGTTGGACAATGTTATAACAGGATTCCTTAATAATCTGGATCTTTTCCAGGTTTTTTGATGAGATAGAGCCCAGCGGTGGGATGCAGATTTTTTTAGTACCGGTTTTGTGGGAGTGGCTTGGTGGGTGTGGCAGGGAAAGAATACTGTAAAATCTCCATTCTCTCCCCACCCCACTAACCTGCTGTCAGGGTTCCAGAAAAACCCAACTCCAATTAAAAACTCCGAGACAGGCATTTTCTCAAAGTTTCCTTTTATTAGAGTAGGTATACTGGCACATCTGGGAAATCCTGAATTTGAAAGTTCCAGGTTTCCTTCTAATAAGTAAAAAATTACAAATCCACCCCTGAACCCATCAGTCCATCACATGGTCCAATCACCAACCATCCCAAATTTATTTATTTGTTTATTTGATTTGTCAGTCGCTTACAAAATAATAGGTATAAGAATATACATAGTTATGAATACATGAAATGGGTACGTATAAGAAAAATAAAAGAAACAATAGGACAGGGATGGTAGGCACGTTGGTGTGCTTATGCACGCCCCCTACAGACCTCTTAGGAAAGGTGTGAGGTCAATAGTAGGCAGTCTAAGGTTAAAGTTTTTGGGGTTTGGGGAAGAAACCACAGAGTCAGGGAGAGTATTCCAGACATTGACCACTCTGTTGCTGAAGTTGTTATTTCCTGCAATCAAGTTTGGTGCGATTAACCTTGAGATGGTATCTATTGTTTGCTCTTGTGTTGTTATGGTTGAAGCTGAAGTATTCATTGACAGGTAGGACATTGCAATGTATGATTTTATATACTATACTTATATCAGACCAAAGGCGTCATAGTTCTAGGTTGTCTAGGTCTAGAATTTCAAGTCTGGTGGCATAAGGTATTCTGCAATGAGTAGAGGAGCGGAGAACTCTTCTTGTGAAATATTTCTGGACTTTCTCCACTGTATTAATATCAGATATGTACTGCGGGTTCCAGACTGATGAGCTGTATTCAAGTATTGAACTGGCAAAAGTTTTGTATGCTCTAGTTAGTAGTGTGATATTACCTGAGAAAAAGCTATGCAGGATTAGGTTAACAACTCTTAATGCCTTTTTGGCTATGTAATTACAGTGGCTTCTAGCATTTAGATCATTAGAGATGAGTACTTCAAGGTCCTTGACAGAGTTTGGATCATCAACAAGGACTTGACTATTCAGCCTGTATTTTATTTTCTGATTATTTTTTTTTTGCCAATATGTAGGACAGAGCATTTATTTGTTGAGATTGAAGTTGCCATTTGTTTGACCGCTCTGATACATAGTCGAGGTCTTTTGAAGAGTAGCAGTATTGTCTGTGGTGTTAAGTAGCTTTACACCATCAGCTAAAAGAACACAGTTGCTCTTAATATGATCACAGAGGTCATTTATGTAGAGTATGAAGAGAGTTGGTCCACTGCCTTGGGGGACACCACTGTTGACAGGTACAGAATTTGATAGAATGCTCCCAATTTTGAC